TGCGTTAGCCACACGAGCCCGCAGGTGCAGGTGCTGTGGGCTCCCACACGACCGGCTGCGGCAGCAAGCGCGGCCCGGCCCAGACACCTACCTCGGGGGTGTTGTTGTTATCGACGGGGCCGTTGAGGTCAGAACGTTGTTGCTTCCTTGGCTGCTCTAAACCATTGCACATCTACGAGAAAACACAGAAAGACTTTCAAAGCCTCTTTTTTTTCTTTTACTTTTCTGAAAAGGTCAAAAACAAAGCACAGATTTCAGGGGAAGTCGAAGGCACAAAGACAGCATTTTTGCACTGGGAAATATTATTTTTAAGTACATTCAAAAAGTGTATATAGATTTCAACAAGATAAATATTCTGAGTAAAGATTATATCCATAGGTTTAATAACACAAACCTAACAAGGATAAGTTATTCCCTAAAATAGTAGGATTAGATCAAGCGTGCTTTAAGCAGGTAAAATGACATGGTGATATTGAAAACAGATTAATTCGTAAAGAGTGACAGCAAATATGTTAGCTCCAGTATACAGCACAGAATTTTAATATTTTAAAAGCTCTGTCAGGGCTGATTATCACATACTTGACTGAAATGAAAATGCACCTGCACATCAAGAAAGAGCTGGTTGGCTGGGTTCCTCAGCACACCCTGCCTGCTGCAAACACCACAGAAACACGGCTCTGTCACACAAGTTAGATTTAGATGCTCTCATTCAGCTTATGTACTTACGATCCCTGGGGATCGTAAAAGCAATTCTACTTTCTGGTAGTAGTTGCATATGTAAACCCATATAGTCGTAATGTAAAATATAACTAAACATTCAGACCACATTTCATTTTTGTGCTATTTATAGCACTGAAATATACTGCAATTGCTGTTTTCAGAAGGACTTCAGGAATACAGAAACAGGCTTGTTTATTGTTGGCTAGTCACATATGTAGTACATATGTTATTGTCATGTACTAGTTGGGCTCCAAGGTTATGAGGTCTATGTAGAATCTGTGCTGAGCTGGGATCCATCACATCACCTCTGCAAGGAACTGCATAAATGGTTTTCATTTTGTGTATGATGGGGTCTGTATATGATGGCAAAGTTGGTTTTTCTCCCATCTTTCTCCTACACCATTAGGAGCCCTGCTCTAATGAGGCAGACTTGCAGGTACATGGAATTGCTCCCTTCCCTTCAAGCATCTCTAGGCACACAAAAATGTTCTGTCTCCAGCACATCTATTAATATTTTGCTCCTAAAAAGTGTGTGGATGGGGGGAGAGGTTGAGGTTTTCTGAGAGCACTTATGGCAAAGGGAGGGGTCGAGTCAGGGGTCAGGTCCAAGACTGGGTCTGGGATCAGTTCCAGGATCAGCTCCAGGGTTGGGATTGGGGTCAGGTCCCGGGTTGGGTCCGGGTGCGCTGTGGGGTCTGGGGTTGCGTCCAGTGTCAGGTCCAAATGAATGCAAAGAGATCACTTAAAGATATTACTGTCCTAGAATTAGTCTTCCTACTTTGGTTTCTAAAGAGACTTTAACAATAAAATGCATTCATTTTGCCTTTGTTCTTAGCATTCAGACCTTTGCTTTAAACTTGATACAATCCCAACTGCTGGTTAACAAGACAAGTTTTAACAGACAAGTTTTCAAATATCTTGGACCTTTTCAAATGTTAACGGAACCAGTTTATTCTTTCATCATATTTATAATGAAGGTAAAATTTTGAAAGTTTAGCAAAGCTTTCTTACTTGCACTGTACTTAAGGTAGTTTTGATGGGGTTTAACTTGTTATCAGATATTCTTTTTAGCATAGTGACGTGATACAGAATCTTTGTTCACCCAGGAGTGCAACATAATGTTCTACCATCCAGGCAGAAGTGTCATTTTAGCTTTCACTGAGATTAGGCAGCAGCAGGGCAGCTGGGAGGCTCCTGCCTATGCTTGTCAGAGGATTTTGTTGATGTTTTAGCTGTACCAAATACTGGTAGTGGCTACCAAGGTCAAGATATGACCAATCTCGTACAAAAACACAATAACATGCAAGTGCCTCTTGCAGTAGCTTTTAATATACACAGCACCTAGTTCTGGCATGCATCCTACTGCAAATAAAAGGAATTAAAGGTAATTGGCCATTAAGGCAGTGGAAGAAGACCCTTACTGGAAATAAATTTCCTCAATTATCTTAGTGCTCAACCCCAACTTTAACTTCCTCTCCAGTGTGTCACTGCGAAAAAGTTATAGAATGGAAAAACAGTGCAAACAACCCAGTTTTGCCTCATTTATCTGGAATACCTTGTTCACAAAACCTACTGATAATGCAAACCCCTTCATTCCTAGTTCTTTAACTTTACATCTGGTACATCTTTCTAAAACCACAACATGACTGTATAGCTGTAGAATGCACTATACACTAAAAAAAAAGTATTGCCCTGGGTTTCTCCTGGAAATCAGCAACTCACGTAACACTTGCACAGTGCCTCCATATGCCTCTGCACAAACAGGTCCTCATACCTGCTCCTGCGGCCACTTCTGTCTGTCCTCAGGAGTTCTCGACTTCGTTTTAAAGCCTCTGGGCACGTCCCCACTCTGCTTCGATGCAGACGGGATATTCAGTGACTTTGGCCTCCCCTCGTGCCTGTTAGCACCGTGAAGGGCTTCCCCTTTGGGACAAGTCTCTTTATAGTCGTGTGGCAAGCTCTCAGGCCCAGTGTGCTCGGGACTCATTTCGGCCGTGCTATTTATGCTGCTCATGCTCATGCTCATTTTAATTTCTGCTACGATCTGGTCAATGTCCTCTTCCTGCTCTTCCAGCTCCGCATCCTCTTTTCTAGAGTGGTACGGTGATATTCCCTGCGAATTTCCATTAGCCTCTGCTGGGTAATAGTCCGGATAGCCACCTTCACTTTGACAATATTGTACGTTCTCTTCTTGGTCTTGAATCTCCAAGGAAGAGACTTCATCCTCCAAAATTTGAACACTATTATCTTGACCCTCCTGCCACTCTTGCCTATCTGTCACCTCATTTTCATCTTGGTGCTGGATTTTACTTTCAGCCCATTCTTCTTCTACAGCTTCCTGACACTCATCCGTTTCAACATGATGCTCTTCATGGGGAGCATACTCTTCCCCATTGCAGTCCATTCCTTCCAGATAACTGTCATCCTCTGGACAGTATCTAATGTAATACGTGATACCTTCCTCCTCTTCCGGCAAGCCTTCATCATAGTCCTCCTCCTCAGAGGTGTTATTCACATAGTCTGAGCTGGAGTCACCATCTCCGCTATGATCATTGCACTCGTGCTGCCCAGGAGTGGGACTTGCCTGTCCCAGGGTTGTGAGCTCTGCCTCCTTCGCTGGGTACTTGGCGCTTCCGGTTTGCCATAGCCAGCTCCTCACACGACCATCATTCCTGAGGGATCCCTGCAGGGGAGATGAGAAATGCACAGTCAGGAAAGGTCCCTGGCAGAGATTAACAATTTTAACGGGAAACAGAGAGATGGATATATTTTATTGTAGAAAGGATGTGTTTGTAGATATTTAAACAGATTCAAAGACACCTCCTTTAATGTTCCTGTTATGGAAGCATGGAATGAAAATAGCAACTGGCACACTGAAAGGAAGAGATAAAGAGCAACTGCTGCACTTGGGCTTAATGTGATCCAGTGTAGGATCTCTTCTGTCAAACTGACAGAAAATTAATCCTGAACCTTGACATTACTTCTTCACTTCTTTTTCTTGCAAGCAAGGAGTCATAACTTTGACCCCCATTCACTAACCAACAGTTTATATAAGCACAAGGTTATATAAGATGTATGAATTGTCTTCCAGATGAAGAAAACATGATTCTAGACAAGCTTGACAGTGATCTGCTGTGTTCAGGCAAGCTGGATATGGGAAACAACATTCACTCAGCATGTGCGTCCTGCACCATGTGCCATGACCAGTCTTGGATGCGCGCATGAGGCGCGTGGAGCTGGTGCCACTGCAGCAGTGGTGGTTTCTACCCAGCTCTACTCCAACACGCTCTGCGGCAGCGAGGGTAAGAGCAGCACTGATGGTGCCTGCCGGATTCAGGGGGCTCTGTTTGTCCATCCTGCGCCCGCGCCGCGAATCCCCCCCGCAGTCTCCCGGGCCACCCTTCTGCGCTGCTCCCTGACGCACTTTGGGGCTTCCCATGGGCAGCCCGCCAGCAGACCCGCACACTGCGCAGCAGGGACGCCCCATCTGCACCAGCGGGGCAGGAATTCAGTGGCCGGTTGCACAGCGCTCTCTATTTTAAAATACTGCAGTTCAAATTTTGTTGTTGAAAGCAAAACACGTTTTTTCCCAGGTCAAAATGCCTAGGAAAAAAAGAAGTGAACCTCCAAAAAACACTTGCTGCATGGGCTCCGCTAGGCCTGTTCTCTGATTTCCAGTGGCAGTTCCCACTTTACAGGGGGCGTTTCATGCTTAGAAATGCCATATCTTCACAGTTATTTTTCTATACGACAGACTGCACAATGCAGATCCTCCCTTTCATACTCTTCTGCAGACAGAGGTGGTTTCAGAACTGGACTTCAAATTCTTTTTATTTTTTTTAAAGGATATGCATTCTGAACTGTGTTTTTGCTTTTCTTTTTGTGATATATAACATTTGCCCTGCTTAGTGTAATTTAATAAGCATTTAAAATGAGCTAACTGCCTTGTGAATTGCCTTCTGAATGTCCTCTAAAATTGGCATCCACCAACAGAAATTAAAAATAGCACAGATGCAAAGTTATATTAAAGATAGTAAAATCCTCTAGCAATGTAAAAAATGGCAAGATAGAGCAGAGTTCTATGCTCCTTGAATATATACCCCTGTAAAAACTGCAGGTTTTGTAATTAAAATGATTAGCTATTTTCTGCTGGAGTGATGAAAATACGCATAATCACAGATTTATCTATCAATTGTTGTTGATGTGGTTTAGTCATTTGGGAGGTTTAATTCCACAGTTCAATAAAGAAGAATAATCAGCCTGCAGTGCTAGAACCTCATTGTTACTTTAGGAAAGATTTTTAGGACCAAAATTGTAGGCTATGTTGAGGAAAGACCTGGATCTGTGTTGCAGGACTGTGAACTGACTGAAAGAGAGTGAGCCTGGACTGTATGACTACAAGCACTGCAAAATGATGACCTTGTTAATAAACCAGATGTGCTAAGGCTGGATGGAGGGAGAACTCCTTGTTCAACAGAATGAGCCGAGTCTCCAAAATTAAGTATCTATGGAGTATCTTGGCTTGCAATCATTCTGATCCAAGATATATTTTTAAATATTCAAAAAACATTCTCCATGTTTTAGCTACACTCTTAGTTCAAAACACTCTACTGGCTTCAACTTATAATTTATTCTATAATGAGTTAATTCCATAATGTTTTTAATCTTTTCTGGTGACTATCAAAAGTACTTCCTAATTCTTTGAGAACAAGGGAGCAGTATCACAAGGTCATGGTGCAGCGTTATCTTCCAACACCACCACAGTTCATTGGAACGGTTTTATCTCCTGATTCAACTAAAATGCATTTTGGCTACTATGAGACAACTTAAAATTGTTCAGTTACTCTGGTCCAAGTTCTAGGCCATTTGGAAGGGATTGTGGAAACCTATAAAATGTTTTATAGAGCCCTTTATAGTGCTGCCTACGGACACAACACCGAAGTCTGGCAGCCCTTCCAGCTCCTGCTAGTTTGTATGCTTTCCATGCTCGTCTTTTCCAATTTCCTTAGTAATATTTTATGTCAATAGCAAGGTCAGGTCCCACCCTCACTTAGCACAAGACCATCACAGATCACTGTGCACATAACAGAACATTAATTTCCTGGAAGTAACTATACCATAGGGAGCTTTATTTTTTTTCATCAGGAATGCTGTGTTATGAACTACTACTGACCCCGAGCAGCTCGTCAGGGAGTGAATGGAGAAGAGGCCGTAGAAGCCTGACTGAGCCCCACCTGCCCAAGGTTTCTGTAACGTGGTTCCTTCTGAGAGATTCAGCACCGTCCCGGCATCACGGTGAAGCTACGGCCACCAGCTCCTGCGGAGGCCCAGGCCCAGCGTACACCCAGCGCCACCACACAACTGCGAGACCGTCACGGCCGCGCTGCGCAGGCCTTCCCCAGGGCACTGTCCCAAACACAGCCTTAAACACAGGCCAGCTTTTCTACGGAAACTGTGGGAGGGTCCCTGCTTGGAATTCCAGCAGGACAAGATGGGCAAAGGACTCGGGAGCAGCTGAACTTGCCCGTGGAACCCACTGCGGTCAGAAGGGCCTGCTGCAGGAAACCATCTTGTAACAGCACCTGGATCCTGCAGTTTTCACATGCAAAAATGCTCTGTTGCACCTTTTCCAAGCCCTTACTATTCTAACACGGTTATTTCTTGTCCATTTAAATTTCTTGAATTAAAAAAAAAATAAATTTCTACTCATCTCCATGTTCTAGCAAACATAAAAATTGTTCACTGCAAAAACCTCTGATGCTAAATTTCATCACTTGGTCCCTAATGTAGACATTAGATGAGTAATTTTGCTTAAACTAAAAAAAGTAGTTAAAAATAAAATGGTGGTTAGGGTAGGGAAGTCTTTCTCTGTGGCAATAGCTGAACTATTTTGAAGCAGGTTGAATGGAGCCCGGGCGGGGGCTGTGCAGGACTCGTCCCTCCTGCATGGTGACTCTCCAGAAGAACCATTACACCCCACACAGATGCACCCAGGGGAAGGTGATCTGGGGACGTGGGCAGAAGGTGAGATTTAGGATTTAGGAAGTTTAAAAATAAAGATTTGCAGTTTCTGAGAGATTCATAAATTCTAAATTTCACAGGGTAAGAAAACAATTTTGCAGAGAGTGTTTGCAATAAGAAGAAATTCAGAGTCCCTTTTTTGCAAGACTGTCTTCCACAACAGTATGAAGTGCGCTCGGCCACCAAGCCAAATTATATTTAATAACACCCCAGCATGATAGTGATGCAATTCCTCTTATTCTTCATGTGCGTTTCGTCAAAAGCTGTGACCTTGCCCACTACACTATCGTTAAATACTCTGTGTCTTTACAAAGCAAAATCCATTAATCTGTTAACAATATCAGATCACTCTAGGGTAGTGTTAGTTAATTCAACTTCATCATTAAATATACATAATAAAAACCTTCCTTTCCTTTAGTTGCATCCAGTTATAATTGCAACACAGCAACCACATGGTTTCCTGAGGATTATGCAAGTGGAAATAAGTCTTTACTGCTTTTAGAAAACCATGGTTATTTAAAAATCTCCTTAGAGTAGATGAAAAGACTCTAAAAGCACTGAAGCAATGTTTTGTATCTGCAACAAACACTTGGCTTCTAAGAGCTACTAGCTGTGGCACACGCATTCTGTGTAGGCAGGAAAGCACAGCAGAGATTTCACGCATGTAACTTCAGACATTAGTAAAACAGGGCACCCTACAAGTACTACCCTACTCCATCACTCTCAGCCTGACTTCAGCTCAATTTCTAATTGTCCTCCTTCATTTAGAGAACAGCTAACTTATTTAATTTAGTTACAGAACTATGCCTTAATATGCCTTTATTTTGTTTATATTGCCACCAACTTTCTTTTTCATAAATGTCCTTTGAAAAATTCATGTTTTAGTGTCATGTTGAAGAAAACTTAATGGAGGAAACAGTGCCATTTTAGCATGCCATGGTTTTAAAATGATGAATCTTCTGGCTATGCAAAAGGAAGGTAAATTCTTTAACTTGGCACTTACCAAAAATATATGGTATAAAAGTAATTAAACTTTCAGTATCATTTTAGTGTTTTCATCTCAAAATAAGTTCAACTTGTAGGTGTTAATGATGAAACATTCCCCATAAGTGGTATTTACTAACGCACAGTAATTAGTCATTGCTAAGTAGTAGTAGCTGTGGCCTGCAGGCAGTTAACATGAGCTCTTCATCCACCCAGCTGGCTGGAAACAGGTAGTTCCATTCAGATAAAATGAAGAACTGCTGGATCACCCAACCACCCACCTGCTGTGCTTGGGCACTTAAGTGAGCGTGTTGCAATCAATCAATCAGAGATGCAGCAAGCCAATTTTAGGAGCTGGCTGAATTCAGGTCCCCTTCCTCACTAGCACTGGGCAGCCTGCAGTGGGACCTGGCATCGGGGACTGGCAGCGGGTTCCTCCCAGGTAAGAATGAGACCTCTCTGGTGTACGGTGTACCCCATTAGCCTGGGAAGATTAGCTTGTGATTTTCTTCTGTTAGCACTGCCCTCACTTTTCCAGACAAATACACTTAAGTTTCTGGCAGATATGGGGAATAAAAAATAATTTAAAAATATTTTGAAAAAACGCAGAAGTAAAGCATCCCATGTTCATTCTTTTCAAGATAATCTTTTGTTAAGTGCACTCAGTAAACTGTAATGTCAAATTAGGAGGCTTTCTGCAAAATGCAGATTTAATAAGAATAGTAACTTAAGATTATCAGAGGTTTTGTTAGCAGTGAGCTATGTCACAAATTTCATGTTTACAGCTTTCAAAAATATGTAACCTGCAGCTGGTTCTTTCCATCATGCTGTTCCTTGGTGGATGATCACCTAATTTGAAAAGAAAGATTTAAAAGACTTTTCTTCTTTGTCTAGGACATAAATTACACATCATAGAGTTCTCTCTGATTTCTAAGTGGTTGGATGATAAACTGTGTCAGTCACTTTAGCAGATACTCAAGATGGTTCAAAACCTTCACACCCACCAGCCTTCCTATCACTTGTCAGCAACAAATTTTTATGCATAAAATCTTATGCATATAAGACTATCCTTTCTAAATAGGGATTTTAATGTAAAATTGTTTGGATGTGGTCTGATTTATGCTGCTGAAGCTCGGAAGGTTTACGCATAACCTGTTACTGAAACCAAAGTATTCACCACATTGATAGTCATGGTTAATGATGATAGGACTTACTAATTGGTATTAGAATTTAGTTCACCATGTTACGAAGCTTTTAATTCACATGATCCAATGCTTCTGAGAGGAGCTGAGATGGAGGCCAGGCTCCCCTCTCTCTTTTTATTTCCCCCTTGTGTACTTTTCCCCAGCCCTTACAGGAGGCAGAGTCAGGCAAGCGGCTCGTGGTCTTTTGAGGGCAGTCAGATTTTAAGCTATTTTAGTGGAGAGAAGGAGAGAAAGCAGCGTTCCTTTTCCTGGCTTAGCTCAGCACCCAGAGTGAGAC